GTAATCTGGATGGGTTCATTCAAGTCTCATACAAAGTTTTATCCACCCACTCCCTTCTGGTTGGTGGGGTGTCAATCATTATGGGAATATCCAGAGAACTGCACCCAACTCAGTTTGTGAAAACTGCAGAAAGGACCTTGCCAAGTAGGTCAAACAAACCATTTGAATCCATTTTTCATCTGTTTCCATATTATTGTTTGGGGCAGTTTTGGCATTCACTATCAAAGGTCTAAATCATTTGGCCCACAAAAGCCACCAAAAGGTCGAGCAAGCAGCATGTCAGATGTAGTTCAGCCTGAATTTCAGATCCTAAAATGGAGGGTGACAATTAGCAGTCATGGAGTTGTGACAAATGTGTGTCTCAGTTTCTTTGCAAAAAGAAAAAAAGAAAAAGAAATGAAAGAAACAGGAGCCACACCCTCAGCAGTCTTGTTCCACCTGTACCACTGGCTTTAGCACTTAGCTTAATAGAGAGTCACTGAGTTCAACTGGAAATTTTTTGTCCATTCAAGTACTGTATGTCTTCAAGTAGTGTGTCTGTGTGATTAGCAAAACTTATTAATTTCTGAATCAGAATGGAAGTAAAATTTTGTGGGAACCTGTATTGCTGTTCCCTGTATCTCAGTAATGTCTGTTGAGATATATTTCCAATTATGCATCGTTTATTCGGTGGAAAGTAGTTTGATTTGTTTTCGTATAGGACACAGATGCCATGGTATTTTGTAACTGCTCCAGCAGGAGATTACCTAGTGAATTGTTATGAATACTAGGAATTTTTATTTCACCTTCTGTTTAGATGCTTATATTTAACTAGGCTATAAAAATAGTGTCTCTGTGTGTTTTTAATTATTATTTTTCCTCTCCTATTTGGAATTTTTATTCTGCAGTTTGTTGTTTTATGACATAACTTAAATAAGAGTATGTTTTCTTATTTTATTTTGTGAACCACCCAGACAAGAATACTGTTTGGCAGCCTATTTAATAAATATACATAGTAAATAAAGCTATCTCACTGACAACCAACTTATAACAGAAGCCACCAGGCTGGCTGTGCAAGGCTTTAACTTCCAGCTGCCATAACTTCTACTGATTCCGTCCCTGGATACATTCCACGGTCACCTTTTTCACTCCAAACGCTCAGAAGCAGTTTGAAGGTGAATCATGATCCCCTTCAAATCTGTTCATCTGAGCTGTGAAAATGGAGAGCACACCACTGTCAAATCACTTCTGCTTGGGAGCGAGGAGGAGAGGTGAAATAAGATGGGGAAACAGAATCGCAGTATCTCAAAACCAAAACAGGAACAGCAGCAGAACGATGACAAAAACCTGGATTTTTCACCACAGCTGAGCCAGAACTAAATCAGCTTAGATTCAGCATGGATGGCTTCAGGAGAACACCAAGATCCAAAGCTGCTTTCGACAGAATCCTTAGCAGCTCTTTTGCTTTCACCCACCCTCAAGTCAAAGGAGCATCTTTTTCCTCCCTTAAAACATAGTAGCTGTTAGACCCATCCACCATGACCTAGAACAGGTCTGCAGGATTCACTCAGCTTTTGAGTGACAAGCCATGAGTTATACTCCAGAAATAGAGATGGACCGGCCCTCCATTCCACCCCTAGGGGGTGGGGGGAGAATGAGCAGACCCTTGACCAGGAAAAAAAAAAGGATTAATTTGACTTCATTTTAATATGATTCGAGCTGAATTAATTAAATAAAATATTCCCCCCCCCCCTTTAATTCTTTTCTTTTTCTGGTGCCCTCAAAGTTACGGTAAGGTGGCAAATTTTGGAGGAATTCTGAGGGACACACACCAAACCGTGGAGCTCCTTGTCATGGAACAGGGTTGGACAATTAATGTCCTCCTTCCCAAAACGTGCAACTTCTGGGGCTTTGGAGAGATACATCTACCTCATCTACTTTTCTTACTGTCCAGCTGATCAAGCTATCTAGACTGGAATATTTCAGAGAAGGAAATAGAAAGCATTTATTGTCTCTTGAAAAAAGTTTTGCTCAGTTGCTGGTTATTTAGGAGCCTGTTATCAAAAGTTAGCATGATTTCTGTTCCGTCAACTATGCTGTAGATGGAAATTGTATGGTACACAAAATATATTGTAGTAGAGTTGACAGAAAGCAGGATGGAGTTGGAGGGCTGTTTCCTTCTTCTGGACTTCTAAAATGGATCTTCTAAAATTGAAACAACTATGCAACTATTCCAACCATGCAAAGCAAATTGGCTTACTCTGCACTATTTATTTTATATACCTATTTACAAAAATTTGCATCTCACATCTCAGGGGGTTTGAGTTTGTGAAAAACTCACCAAGCTTAAAACTGTTTGTGAACAGTTAGATCATTAACTGGCTAAGCATATCTTGCTTTGGTTTGTGTGTGTGTTGAAAAACAAATTTTTCAACACTGAGCAATTGCTGGAGTAACACTTTTTAAAACTCTTTTATTCTTATTATTTATTATTCTATTATTTTCTCCACAAATCATTTTCTTTGGCAACTTCCCTTTCTTTTTCCTATTACTTATTTATTGAAGCTAATCTTAGTTAGTTAGTTAGTTAGTAGTTAGTTAGTTAGTTAGTTAGTTTTGGAAGGCCACCCAACTCCCAAATGACTCTGGGTATCTTATTGAGGTGGGCATTTCTGTGGAGACATCTCCACCAGTGGCATCTGAAGTAGTCAGGGGTTAAAAGGCACAAGATGATAAGCCCAGCACCACAATCAAAGCCCCACCTCTTTCATACATGTGTTGATGTGACATGCAAGTAAAAAAGGGGCAGGGCTTAATTATAATGTTGTTTCCACCATCTTGCCTCTTTTGATCTCCTCCAGCCTGTGGACACCCCTTTCCACCCTTTAAAAAGACAAATACAAGGCTGGCTTCCAACTTCATTAATTTCTACATCATATAATATTTTTAGCTGGGACTAAACTGAGCAAATGAGATTTTCTTTACATCCGTGTTGTGAATGTATGAATTGGTGAATGGAGAACCAAAGCTTGCCCTAGGTATATTGATTTCAGTAAGTAATTTGCTTATAGAGTAATATTCTAGAGAGTAGTAGAATGGTTTTTGATATAACTTTATGACAGAAAGGTCTGCTTTTGAAAAGTGTGGGCAAGAAGCATTGTCTACATCGGGGGTAGCAGTTAGCCCCTCTTGGTTGATCTCCAAAAGCTAAGTAGAGTCAGATCTGGTTAGCTCTTGGATAGGGAACCACCAGAAAATTCCTTTATGTATGCTTTCAGTGCTGACAATTGGATATGCCAAATATTAGAAATTTCCTATCATACCTTCCTCAAAGACTGGCACTGAAATTATGGGAATATACTGCCACATATAAAATAACAGTACAATTGAGGGACAAAAGTTTTGACTGCTTCAGTAGAGTTTGGCAATCATTTAATGACCATCACATTCAGAATTTTTTCCCCCCATCCTTGAATTTTGACTTTATTTAGGTTTTTTTTAAATTATGCATTATACTATGCTGGTTATTTATTACTCACTCTTGATTACTTGGTTGTATTTCTTATTTCTTATTTATTTAACTTTAGAAAAATACAAAATATAAGTAAAACACCACGACACACGAGGAAAAAAAAACTAAACTAACTTTTAAAAAATGATAAAAACCAGAAAAAGAGAAGGAGAAAAAAAAAATCCAAAATAAATAAGTAATATTTTAAACTTATAATTAGTCACTGGTTTACTCATCATAAATTTAATATATTGCATATAATACTATAGTATAATCAAATACAAAATATGATTGTAAATTATCATAAAATCTCTGCTAAAGTAATAGACATTGCTTCATCCTTTGATTAGTGGATAATATTGCCTTTTCCAGGATGGATAAGTTATACATTTCCAAAAGCCCTTCCTTAACATCTGGAATAACATCTGGAATTGGAATGAGTTTTCTAATTTCTCCATATTATTCTTTTAGCCACCCCCCATGTACAGTATAACCATAATTTCTGATAAACAGTCAGATTCCAAAGCTTTTGTGTTAATTCAACATTACATTAACATCTTTAACATTTAAAGTTCTTCCTATAAAGCTATTTGTATACATTCAAATACCATTCCCCCCAAATCCCAAATGATTGCAGGACCATATGAAATTTAAGCTGACCAGCAGATTAAGTTTCTGTTGTCCCCAGGTCATTATGAAAGTTAAATAAAGGATATTTAATTCAAAAAAAGGAAAGGGAGGGGGGGAACAGGGTTGTAAATAGATTGGGAAGTTAAGAAAAATATTTGGAAGAAGGCAGTAGCAAACTACTTATACATTGCCGCCACAGAAGAAAAAATTACATGGCATGACCATGAAATCACCAGGAATCAAGATCAACTCAAGGGGGACTTTACTATTATTTAAATAGAGGTTCAATGCCTTTTTTGTGCTGGTGACTTGCCAATTTTGGTGCTACTCAGTGGAGTCTTTAACATCCTGCTTAGTAGGAAGTATACTGAATACTAAAGGAGGAAACCTTTTCATTCATTTTATTTTATTGATCTTGATGGAAGCCACCTCTGCAAATGTCAGTCATGAAGCCTTCAGGGACATTTCATTTGTTTCTCAGGTAGTCCTCAGTTTAAGAATGAGTTCCATTCCCAAGGTCTATCCTTAAGTCGAATTTGTATGTAAGCCGAAACAATATTATTGTATAATATTGTATAAGCGGTAATGTGTAATGAACTCAAACCATTGTGTATTTAACTCGAATCATTGTGTATTTAACTCAAATTTTGCTATAGTAGGCCCCGTTCTTAACTGTGGGTCGGCCTTAAACCGGGCTTTCTTAACAATCAATATACATTGACGATGCAATGGCTTGACATGGGTCTATACCCCCTGCCAATTCCTCCCCTTGAAAATATTCCAAGAATCCAAGAATATTGGCTGTACTGCTGACAATCTACTTTGTCATGTTGAAATTACAGTGTATAGTGTCACTCTAACGGTCCTCCTTTTTCTCCAGAGTCAACGACTGCATTTTGCGGGTGAACGAGGTCGATGTATCCGAAGTTTCACACAGCAAAGCTGTTGAGGCGCTCAAGGAAGCTGGCTCCATAGTGCGACTGTATGTCCGTCGGAGGAGGCCGATTCTGGAGACCGTTGTGGAAATCAAACTGTTCAAAGGACCAAAAGGTAATTTCAAAAAAAGGGAAATGCGGTACTCAGAATAAATATAAAAAGTTGCCTTAGGAACAGGTCAGTTTCTAGTGGGTGTTTTATTTATTTATTTGTTAAGTTCTTGGTGTTCTCTGAGGTTGGTTATTTTCCTACAGATGCTTCATTATGAGGCAAATTATTATTATTATTTTTATTATTATTAGGCCAGTTATGAGGCACTGTTGGGAGAGTATCATTAAAATTACAGGTTTTCAATAGTTCATGAAGTGACTATAGATAACAAAGTACACTGTATCATTTTAAAAACCTGGAAATCACTATTAAACTTTAAGCAGGATACAGGTAAGAGAAACAACAGACAGAACCATATGAATCATAAAATAAAATTGTAAATGGCTAAATTCCGTCCACACTACTAGATGTCTGTTGTCATTGAAGAAGTCCTATAAAGCTGAAATAGTAAAACTTTATGTAGAGGGAATCTCACATTTTGGATATGGTTCAAATCCATATATTAAACTGAAATCTAAAAATGGCTTCCAAATTAAATGAACTTTTAGACCTTCAGCTCATTCTTTGCTTCATAACATGAATAGAATTTTCTATTGCCTCTGAAACAGAGAATTCTGGTTTACTTCCAGTTTAAAGACCTCAGTTGTAAGAGATATATAGATTACAGTAAATCCTATCAGATTGACTTCCTACTTTCCTGGGCAGATTTCAGCTTCAGCAAAATAATCTGTTTTTTTTTTTTTTTTTTAGAGATACATTCAAGCATCAATTTGTTGGTCAGTTTTTGTTGCTTGGAACAATTTGCTTTATACAAGAGAGAGAAGTTATTTTAAAGAGAAAGAGCATTTTTTTAAAAAGCTGGAGTTTTGATTTCCTGACATTTCACAAAAGTTTGGGATGTTTAGGATTTATTTGGAAACCATGCATTATCGCTCAAATGTTGCTGTTAACCAGAATGGCATTTAAATTCCCATTACTGCAAAGAGGTTGAACGGGAAGTAAATTGGTGTCAAACCACGTACAGCAAGCATGATCAAAGAAGCAAGAATCACTGATTTCAGTAAGGAGTTTAATGCAAGGATTAGGGGTAAGGGACAGGAAATTGGAAAATGCAATAAGAGCCCTCTTTTATTAGCAAGTACATTAAAGCAGATTCTGCTTGAACGTTTTGAAAATCTTCTTTCCAAGCTTTCTGCAGTCTGGACTGATCTGCCAATTATTAGATAGGCTACTACTGTTTATATTTAGAGATCTTCCATTTCTTTCTCAGCTTCCTTACAACTGGGAATTGTTCATAAGCTTTCCTAAAATGTGAGATTCTGCAATCCAATTCCTGGCAGGATTTTAGGGGAATTAAAGACAGATGTTGAGTCAGTAGAAACCTACAGAAATATGCAGAACTTGGACATCTCTCAGGACTCAGGGCTCTGCTATTATAAGCCATCCTTGAGTGATGCATTGTGGGAAATTCAAAATAGTGGTCATGTCTATTCCTATTGCCAAAGAAGCCCACCCACAAAAATAAGGAGGCACATGAAAAGCCTCCTCAACCAATCTTGATTATTAGGATTCTTTCTGTCTGGATCTAAGTTGCACTGGTTCCTGGTAGTAACTCTAAATACTTGTGGTAGCTTTTGAAGTTTTTCTCCTCTTGATTTCTGCATTGCTCAGAGAGACCTTTATCCCCATAAGTTCTTTTTCCTCCAAGGTCCATTGATAAAGGAAGAAAATCTTGGAGTGGCTAGTCTTGATGGCAGCTACAGCAATGCAATTGAAGCTCTGCACATAATAAACAGGCAGAGCTTCAATCCCACCATTGCAGTCACACCATTAAATTTTCTTACCACGTTCTGTGGACATCCTCGAGCTGCTCAGCTGATGTTTTGAACAAACTGCTAATGTGTTTGTTCCTTAAAATACCCTTCAAGGGCTTCTTAGGTTTGGAAAATTTAGCTACATTCACACAACCCATGTAACTGGGTCAATGGAAGCCCCAGCATACTGCGTGAACCCAAATAAGGAAGAAGGACATTTTATAAGCACAGTTAATTGGGGGGTACCTTTCCTTAAACTGGTATGTCAGGTCCAAAAAAATTTTTTTAATTTGAGGTTATCTCTGCTCTAGGAAGTGATAACCTCAAATTAAATTTTTCTTTTAATTTTAGGAAGCTAGAGCAATGCCAGTTCTGATCCCCCGTACCCCACATGCACACTTTCTTTTCCTTTGCATGGACAAGAGATTGCTTAGCGGGGTGAGAAAAGAAAATTCTTCCCTCTCTTAAAACTTCCCTAAACACACACCTTAACACATATACAAGCAACATGCCAGATACCACAGAGATAGCTGGACCACTGTCCTAGCTCCACTGTTCTCAATATAATTGGGGCGTTGTTTAGAATATTCAGTTAACACCAGATCACCAGGAAAGCTAATCTCTCATGGTGTGCACAAGACTAGATCAAGCATGTCATAAGAACATATCTTTGTGCAAATGGTTCAAAGACATACCCATGCTTAATATTGTACAATGAAGATGGACCTCCAGTGAATTGACTGGAGTTTAGATGGCCACTAGATGGCAGCAAAGAGAAAGAGAAAAATCTAACTCTTTGTTGCCCTGTGTTGATCAGTCTGATATTTGCAAGCCAGATCTGGTAGCCCCAGACTACAGCTGTCAAGTCCACAAAGTCCAAACCCCAATTTAGAAGAATTCTCGTGAAACCAGGCCTGGTT